TTTCTTTAATGTCGAGAGGAATGTGGGTACACTTTCAATTAAGTAAATATGTTAATTTAAGATTAAAATTAATTAAAATGAGCATCGGTAGTTTAAAAGCATAACAACTACTCTTTCAGCAAATAACATTATCATGGGATGAAGAAGAATCTGACAGTCACGTTTGTCGCCTGTGCAACAAGACATTTTATAATGCAAACGCCTTGCAAAATCATAAGAACCTACAACACAAAGTTTCTGGTAGTGAAGCTGACTAAACTCTGTCTCACTACAGAGCAGCAATCAGGTATAACATTTATATTACTTCCAAACCATGCTTTCATCATCCACTCATAAATACCCACGGGTGGACATGGGCTTCCATGGGTCCATTTGGGAAAAGAATTTAAGATTAAATTATGCGCAATTTGCCTTGGAATCCGGCTCATCAACTTTCAACACTTAGCAATACTAAAATATTAAGTATAATATGTAGTAAATGAGTAGCTTAAATATGGAAATAGCTTTGTGATTTCGTGTTTATTATCAGATTGTCGAAGATACCAGTTACTTAATTGCGAAAGTCGAAGGCGAGGATTTGTACCCAAACCATCTAAAGAGAATTCGCCTCGATGGAATAATAAGACGGAATCAAATGAAGGAAGGGAAGCCACAAGTTTATTTGAGGTGTTTATTAGTAGCGTGTTTTTTCTTTTTAATTCACCGTGCGGTAGCTTGGTACGGATGTTTCATTTTTGTTCGTTGGATTCAAATGCTTTTGTTGCGTGATGTATGTGGAGTTCAAAATAGTGCATAGAGATTGCCTTAATTTTCTTTTCTAACCTAGTATATTCCCGATGTCTATACGCGCTAGACCAGAAAAAATAATAGTTTTCATAATCTACCTACTACTTGTTACCTATAGATAATAGGTATCAAACAGTAGACTACGATTTTGTTCGCTTTGTAAGTTTCTAACTGTCTACTGCTCGTAAATATTTAAAAGTGTTTAAACAATCAAAAGGAGAACAGTTATTTTTATCATTTAATCTCCGAGCCGAGAAACCTCATGTAGCAAAAGTGAAGTTTTTACAAAAGAAATTATATATAAGTAATAGGTATATCATCGCTCGCATTTCACTTCGGCTCTACTTAAAAATTTTATCCATGTTACCTAAAGGCAAACACAAGTGTTTCTTTAAGAAATATAGAATCTCGCTTGTATCATTTCAAATTAATAACGCAGTTATGGTATGAAGTTGCACAGGTAACGTAGAAAGTTTGAAGTTTTTTCTAATTTATAAGTTTGTCTTTTACGGATTTTGCAGAGGACCATTCACGTGTACGTTGCCATCGTCCATAAGGCCAGATCTTCAATGCCGCTAAATATTCTTCAACTGTTGAGAATAATTGCTCCATTATCGCGAGGAGCATACAAAGAGACGCAAAGCAGCTCTGCGGTGGCAAGTGTGTGGGAGGCGGCTCGACAGAGACTTCTACGGTGCAAACATTTTGGTGCCGCAAATTAACCCAACATCACGCTTAACATTTTCTTGACGTATGTGCGGACAAAACTTTTTTAACAGTGCGGAATACGATGAGCATAATCGCATAGTTCATGTTAAAATTAAACCACATCAGTGTTCGATATGCTCTAAGCGGTTTACTCAACAAGGCGGCCTATAGCAGCACATGCGTATGTACACCGGAATACGGCCGTTTGCATGCACTTTTGTCCGAAAGCGTTTACGCAAAAAGCTGGATTAAAGTAAAACCATTCAAATGCGTGATATGCAGCAAATATTTTTCCCAGTATGTCCATTTGCGGCAGCATATGCGAACGCACACCAACATTCAACCGTTCGAATGCAATGTATGTGAGAGGAGGATTTAACAGAGTGGTCACTTAAATTTCCACATGCGTTCGCACGTTGGTGAGACGGACGTTTTGATGTCGAAAGATACGCACAGCCCGTACCGTCTGTAGCTCAACTGAATCAAATTGTTTTCTTAATTTGCCAAACGTGCAAGAAGTGCAAGACGGCGTGACTTTGTACTACGCAGCAGAGCTGAGTCCTCGCTGCAGTCGAACCCATTAATGTATGCGCCCTAAGTAACGAGTCATGTGCTTTAAAAGCAGCTTTTTATTTCGTAGATGTGTTTCGTAGATTTTTATAGAATAATGTGTGATTTTAAAAACCTTTACCTTTGCGTATTTCTTAACAAATAAAATTGTAATTGAGTTACAAATTACAATTGTTAGTGGAAAATTGTTTTATAAAATAAAATACTTTTTGTTTAGTGACTAAAGCAATTTTGTTTAATTTGAGCAGTCATTTTAATAAATGTACTAATAAAATTATTGATAACATACTTATTTCCCTTATTAAGAAGGTTTTTTATTTTCACTACTGTGACAACGTCGGAAACTATTAATTTATAAAATATGGATATTTATAGTGTCCGCGTTAACACGGGCACTCTGCGATCCGACATATTATGTGACACTTGATACGCATCAAGGTTGATGGTAGGCTATACTCTTCGATCAACAATGTTGGTATTGTTAATCGAAGGCTATACTGAACTGCCAGAGACAATCACAATACAAGCGGGCTCCTATAACCACTCCTATAACCTATAACCAGATCAATGTATTAATTAGGTGTTAATCGGCATAGCAATAATTGCACGTAGCAAGAAATTCATTAACTTATGTAATTGTTTGGAAGTAATTGAAAATTAATTGCACTGTGAGATTTTAATCTCATGATGGATGACTCATTACTAAGTAGACGTGGTCTACAATTGTGCAAAAGCTTATTTTCAGTTATTATAAATTTTATTTAAACAAATACGTTAGCCGTGTAGCCCGAAAAAAGAATGGAAAAAGAAATATTATTTGCTAATTTACCACCTGTTGTGTAGTGGTGAAGAACAACTCCGTGGGAAGCCTAAATGTTTGAGTAGATTTATAAAAAAATTGTGGACATATGAAAACCGCTAATACGCATTGAATTGGCTCTTTCCTGTTCACAAAACACTATCGGATTATCACGACCGTGCACAGGGGTCTTAATTATAAGACCCCTGTGCACGGTCGTGATACGTATATGTATACAGCTGAGCTGCTACTTTACTTTTTTGTTTTAATGAGACCTATAAAACAATTTGTCATATATTGAGATAGGTAGCTTTCGGATTTTCAGATACCTATATAAGGCGCCCTTTAACCTGACACTGTAATATCGATTATTACGTATCTATTCAAATACTAATACCTAGTACAAATAGAAATACATCTTCAACGAATAATTGTTATTTAATCTACGAAATCTTCAGGCCGTAAAAGTAATGTATGGTGCCATTAGCTCTTAAGATCTTCTTAGATGTCGCTACTAGATTTTAAAATAATAATTAGTAATATTTGTGAAGATTACACGTTATATGTTTTCTTTAATGTGAATTAATAACGAAACCGGAATGGTATAAGCTATTTTTGAGGCCTTGCCATTGATCGGTGGGTTTTAATGTGTTGATAATAATAGTACATCGGATCATGATATCGTTATCGTCTATCTATTCTATTTCAGCAGTGTCGGTGTGTCGTTACGTGTAATGTGTGTTTTATATAACATAATGTAACAGTATCGTTATGGTACCACGGATAACGTTATCGTAACTATATCTATATTTATAACTGTCTATTTACCATGTAATTGTATCGGCAACTTAACAGTAGGCACAAAATCGAAATTCACACTAAATTTTTCAATATTGTTGTACAAATATGACATATATGACTGCTTCTTATTTTCTCCGCCTGCGTATATTTTCCGAAAATGCCAAAAAAGCCACCAAACTATAATAATACACATTATGATATTAACCAAAATATATGTCATTCCTATTCACACTTGAACCGTGTTGTACTAGAATGACAAGGGAGTTAATGGTAAAAAAGCACAGGGTTGTCAAAAGTTTAAAATGAGATTGCGTGAAGATTTATGCAACATAAACCTAAAGAATCAATTTTAAGTCAGTAGTATATTTTGAAGAGGATAGGTAAATAAAAATATATACAGTAGAAAAAGGAATATATTTATTTAAAACAACCAACACTTATCGTCAACAACTAAAAAGTTTAAACTTAAACAATTAAATTTCTTCAGAAACAAACAAATCCTCTAACAAGCAAAATAATTTATCAATTTTACAATCAACTGTTTATAAAATCTGCAAAATATTTATGTGCACACAAAATGAAAAAATCGTAAGTAATAATTGTTCATAATATTTCTTAAATTTTTGTATTTTGAATATATTTGTTACGCATACTATTTTTTACTTCTTGCTTAAAGATTTTAAGAAGTTAAATTATTTTGGGGTTACTGAAATAATTTGTTATCCCCGCTAATATCACATGTATTTACTATATATTAAAACTGTTTATCATAATTTTTTATTAGATTCTATATTGTTTTATTGAAATACATAAAGATATTTTCATGAATATAACAATTTTCAATTTATTGTATAATCGATATCGATATAGACATTACAAACTGTTTACCTACGCGGCCTTAGGGGAGAATATGAAGCTCTCTACTACTTGCGCCAGTACATGCGCAAATGTCTCAGGCAAGTCAAGTTCAGCCCGACCAATATAGAACGCGCGGGCCGTAATTATTACTTTATATATTTTATTTATTTATTAAAAAACAACAATGTATCAAATTGCCGTCCCAAAAATATGTCCGTAATTTCCAAAGTTTGTGGATCTTTACGCACTTGGATGAAGCCACATTGCTTCAATTCTGAAAATAGATAACTATTGTTAGTCTATTTTTATTATTAGGTAGTTTATAATGTATTAATGGTTTAATCGGTACATACTGAGTACGGAAGAGAAACAGCGCGCTGCTATGATATTATGTTTTCCCGGTGTTGTGGGCCCGTTCATTATTAACTTATGGATAGTAATCGGTCTTGTCCCCTGCTTTATATTTTGTAAGATTTTCTTACAAAAGAAAGAAAATCTTACAAAATATAAAATTTTGTAAGATTTTCATCATCGTTCCCTCGGTTCCCCATTGGTCACTGTAAATGAAATATATTTTTAAACAAAACGGGAAAATCTCCGAGTAAAGTGCGGTGTGATCATTTCGGATAAGACTATCTTCTAATTTTGTATCAGTTACATAAGTATATATTGTTCTTTCTTATTTTAGTGATAAACGAAATTAGAGTCCACCTGACGGGAAGTGGTTATCTATGACAGTCCATGGACACCTGCCTGCAGCCAACCTCGTACAAAGAATGCAGGTTATGGGCCACAGCATCCACTTACCATCAGGTAGACTCTGTGCTCGTTTGTCGCACTTACACTACAACAAGATATAGAATTACTCACAGTATAAATCTCTTGGAATCAGTAGTCCGTTCAGAGTCGCCAAATGAAACTTTAGTCCTGTCCAGACTACCCAGGGGCGTTCCAGATGATTCAGTGAGGGTTTCCACTTCGATGGGTTCGCATGTTTGCATGTCCGCTAATCCTGCTTCCTGAAGCATCGCCGTAGCGCTCCTCTCAAGTTCAGTGCTTGGAAGCTGTTTATTCTGTGGGATATTTTCTTTTTCAGCCTCTGTAAATAATTTAAAAGAAAAACGTGCCTTGATTGACTGAACAGTTCAGTAAGAAGTTGCGAGTCCTTAATTCAAGCCCAATCGAATTCAACAGAAATATTGAAAATTTTTAGTGAAAATAAATTAATTTAACTTTATGCGATGCAAGAAGTAAGAAATAGTATGCATAACAAATATATTCAAAATACAAAAATTTAAGTAATATTATGGACAATTATTACTTACAATTTTTTCATTTTGTATGCACATAAATATTTTGCAGATTTTATAAACAGTTGATTGTAAAATTGATAAATTATTTTAGAGGATTTGTTTGTTTCTGAAGAAATTTAATTGTTTAAGTTTAAACTTTTTAATTAATGAAGATAAGTGTTGGTTGTTTTAAATAAATATATTCCTTTTTCTACTGTATGTATTTTTATTTACCTATCCTTTTCAAAATATACTACTGACTTAAAATTGATTCTTTAGGTTTATGTTGCATAAATCTTCACGCAATCTCATTTTAAACGTTTGACAACCCTGTGCTTTTTTACCATTAACTCCCTTGTCATTCTAGTACAATACGGTTCAAGTGTGAATAGGAATGACATATATTTTGGTTAATATCATAATGTGTATTATTATAGTCTTGGTGGCTTTTTTGGCATTTTCGGAAAATATACGCAGGCGGAGAAAATAAGAAGCAGTCATACATGTCATATTTGTACAACAATATTGAAAAAATTTAGTGTGAATTTCGATTTTGTGCCTACTGTTAAGATGCCGTTACAATCACATGGTAAATAGACAGTTATAAATATAGATATAGTTACGATAACGTTATCCGTGGTACCATAACGATACTGTTATATTATGTTATATATAATACACATTTAACGTAACGACACACCGACACTGTTGAAATAAAATAGATAGACGATAACGATATCATGATCCGATGTACTATTATTATCAACACATTAAAACCCACTGCTCAATGGCAGGGCCTCAAAAATAGTTTATACCTTTCAAGTATCGTTGTTAATTCACATTAAAGAAAACATATAACGTGTAATATTTGTGAAGACAATCCTATAGCGCGTTTTTAAAAACTAGTAGCGACATCTAAGAAGATCTTAAGAGCTAATGGCACCATACATTACTTTTACGGCCTGAAGATTTCGTAGATTAAATAACAGTTATTCGTTGAAGATGTATTTTGTGTAGTAGATACGTAATAATCGATATTACAGTGTCAGGTTAAAGGGCGCCTTATACAGGTATCTGAAAATCCGAAAGCTACCTACCTCAATATATGACAAACTGTTTTATAGGTCTCATTAAAACTATAAAAGTAAAGTAGCAGCTTGTATACATACGTATCACGACCGTGCACAGGGGTCTCAATTATCGATTGTTAGTGTTGCCCAAAATCGGTCTTGGTCTTGCAGTCTTGGTCTTTTTCTTGCATTTTTGCAAGACCAAGACCAAGACCGCCTAATTTTAGCAAGACCAACACCAAGACTGACCGTGCAAGATTTGAGCAAGAACAAGACTAAGCCTGCGTGACTCTTTCGTCTTGCAGTTAGGAATTAGTGTCGTTTCAGGGAGTATAGAAGTTCGGGTATACGCTTAGTGTTCCAAATAATAAAATAAGTTTCCGGGTGCTCAGAATGGACACGAATACATTATGCTGATCTCGCAAGGAATATTGTAATTAGATAATGGTAAGGATAGGTAGATACCATAATAATTTATTCTAGTAAGTAATTATTATAATATTAACTATATGGGTTCATAATAATTGCTTACTATTATTATTATTACCTAATAGATAAACATGTTCAATAAGTTCACTGCAAATCTCGATTTTTGGAAGTGTGTGTTTTTGAACACAAAGTGTTCGAATATGTCGTCACCCATTTGATAAATATTGTAGACACTTTTAACACACTTGAAACGTGTAAACATTTTGTACAATGCTAATCGAATAATATAAAAAGTGTGCATATTAAATAAAAAGCGTAAAATAAGATCTATGTACTTTTTAGGAGCCCGAGTATCTCTTAGAGAACCATTTAAAGAAATTGATTGCATCGAATTGATGTAAATAATAGTGATTTGCACAATTTTAATAGTAGAAATAAAAATAAAATCACAATACCTGCTTTCAGGTTACACAAAGTATATAAAGCCTTCTTGGGTAGCGACATACTCTTTTATAATAAGATTCCAAAAGAAATGTTAGATCTTACGCCTTTTCAATTTAAGTCAGACAAAAATTCTTGGAACTGACCTCTCTTACTACACAGGACTAACTAGAAATTTCTAAACCGATTTGGTATCTACATATACATTTGACATTTTATGTTTGACTTATCGCTTTACATAATTATAGAACTATTGTAAAAATATTTTGAAAAGAGCAACTACTGAGTTTCTTACTTTCTTCCATGATTCTTCTCAGTAGAATCAAAACCCCTGGACATGGAAAAGAAAAAATTGGGGAAAACAGTGATTATATGACTATTCAAAAGTGTATTTTTAATGCCTACTTGAATAAAACATATTTGAATTTTGAATTTCAAACGAGTGAAGGCAAATTTAATTTAATTAACGTAGATTAATTCAATCACAAGAAGAACATAATATGCACAATTTTATTTACATATTTACATTTTATTTTTACGTAGGCACACTATACCTATCTAGCAACGCATCTACTTTATTAATCTTCTGAAGAATCATTAATTTTATCAAAGGATGCCTAACTTTCCTTTGTCGGTCTTTCAGCGTGTACTTACAAATAGTAGTATTTATTTGGATTCCAGTCATTCCCAATTGAGCTTTGCTTCGAGTCTAATGTATTAATTGTTTTCACTCTAATCCTTGTTGTTCTCGGAGTGATAAGTTTCCAATTTGACATGAGTGACGAAGAGTCGAATAGTTCTAGTCTGAGTAGTGAGAGTTGGAGTTATAGATCTAAAACACCTAAAAGTAAATTTGATGAGTATTTCGACATAATTCATGCATCCCAAATTGCTTTGTGTAAATTATGCCTACATAAAAAATTTGAAATAAAAATGAAAAAAGAAACACTTCAGGCTTAAGGAAGCATCTAATATCTTTCCACAAAAAGGAATCACAAATATTTCTTCCTGAAAAACCAAAATTAAGTGGAGATATCACAAGCTTTTTTAATAACCACCGGAAAAAGTGGACAGGTAAGAAAAAAATATACTTATCACACAATTATATAACACATATATTATGTAACTAGCGGCCGCCTGCGACTTCGTCCGCGTACAATATCTGATTTCCTTTATGATTTTGAAATTTTCTCGCTGCAGAAGTCTTACCTAAGTATAAAGAGGCTATATAGGTAAAGCTTAACTATGCAAGTATTTATTATTTAAAACTAATAAAGTAAATGTCGATCTTCATATCTATACTTTAAAAATATAGAACTTGCATGTAACCATTTTACCCCAATTTCACCCCCTTAGGGTTAGGATTTCGTAAAACAGCTTATTCAGGATTTTATTATTGAAAACTTATAACTTTAATGCATGCCGATTTTGGTGTCTCTAACTTCAAAAACGTAGGACTTTCATACAAACTTCCAACTCCCATTTCACTCCCTTAGGGATAGATTTTCTCAAAACCGTTTCTTAACTGATCTCTATGCCATAAAAGGAACCTACCTTACAAACTTCAAGTTTGTATGTTTTATAGTTCCTGAGATATTGTTATAGTCAGTCAGTGAGTGGTAGTTATATATATATATATATATATATATATATATATATATATATATATATATATATATATATATATATATATATATATAAGGATTAAGAAAGGAATGCTTCGGTGGCTTGGTCATGTAGAAAGAATGAATGCGGAAAGACTGACAAAGCAAATATATGTTGCAGAAGTGAATGGAAGAGTCGGAAAGGGACGTCCTAGGCGGAAGTTTGTCGACCAAATTGGCGATATACTAAAAATGGGCCAAATTAAGAGTACCCTTAACGACGAAGAGGCGAGAAAGGTATGTCAGGATCGTGCTAAATGGAAGTCTGTAGTCTCTGCCTGACCCCTCTGGGTGACAGGCGTGAGTGTTTATGTTTATGTATATATATATACCGAAAACACTAACGAATCCCTGTGCCTCACCAACTCGTCTGCCTTTATAGTTAGATAGGCGTACGCCTATGTACCAGATGTGGAATATGAATAGGCCGTGAATATCATATTCAACAAAAAATATTTATCTATAAAACAAATTCGGTTTAATACATTTTCCAGAAATCTTATACGTTTCCAATCTGAAAACTTATATATAAAATCGAAAAGGATATGATGCACACATTAACAACCTACACACACAAAGACAATCAGTTTTTAGTCTCGTTTGTTGGTTGCAGTTGCCAATCTATGGAGTCTAATACTAAATCTACTTACGCGTGGTACCATACCGCTCTATAAATTGTTTCCGTCATTCTGAACTGTCTACGAATTACGTTAAAAAATGTAATAATTCTTATATTTACAAAAAATATAAATATTTTATAACCCGCGCCAATAAAGAAACGAATCTAAAATGGCGTCTGTGAATGTACACTTTCAGATGGTAGGGTCAACTAATAAAAAGAAAGATAGAAAATGTTGTTTATTAAAACCCAGTTTGTATAAAACTTAGAAATGTATTTTGATGACTTTTCGATGTGGAACTTCACACTGCTATATAAATAACTAGTCTCGCTGACAATACCAATGATCGTCGATTTGTCATTGTAAAAAACTATTGTCAGTTTTATGCTACAGGTACTACATAATATCAAAAGCCTAAATGCAATGAATCATTACCACCTCTTCAAAATATTTGATAACGTTATACATGGCTTCGCATGCACCACTGTGAATTACCATATTTACCACACACGGCCAATCAAAAAGTCAACAATAACAAAAACAAACAAAATAACAACGATGAAATAACGATCAAATGCAACAAACAACAAGAGAATTCTTCGAGACAGTGTGAGAAAAAAGCCAGGACTGATTATTTTTTTTGCATGCAGTACGAGCCGTGTGCGACTAAAGACAGCAATAGTTTAGAGTTAGAGCGCATGATCGGCGCCGTGATTTATGAATCGTTTCTTTATTCGCGCGGGTTATATAGGTTTCATATGTTTTGATCTAAAAGCCGCTTAGGAATAATCCTAATATGAACGTGATTGTCTTAACAAAGAACGAAAACGTTCTTAAATGTATTTATTTGATATTACCTTAAAGTACTTATATTCATTTATTTCGTAGCTTATTAATTTTGTCTTTGCATATTTAAATGAATATGTACTTCATAATTTATATGGTTATATTAAATACAAAAGTGAAATAATAAGTACAGAACTATGTTTTGGAAAAACAGGATAGTTCGGAGGACGTGGTGAATATCCGGGTACCCGCGCATACTTACCTAAGTCGGCCTGCTCACGCTGGATACCGCTCTAACATGTCACAAGTTTTGTCACGGCTTTTCCTACGCAATCTGAGAGTTTTAAATAGAACGCCGATAGCCGACAGAGAAATGGAGGTAATTTTTTTCATACTTTGTGTTCTAACCAGTAAATAAAGTACCCGTATTTTAAATGTAAAGTTAAGTATTAAAGCAACAGTCTAATGCACGTCCCGCTACTGAGCACGACCCTCACATCTCTGACACGGTTGTAGGTTATACGCCGCACTGCTATAGTTGATGGCTTTTACGTATCCTCGAAATATCTTATTAATCTGACATGCGAATTTCCTCACGATGTTTTCTTTCGTCGCCGAGCACGTAGTAAATCAGCACTCGATATTGCAATTAACAAGTGCTTAGCCCCTGAGCTATCACAGCTCGCGAAAATGTTAAAATATCACAATAACGTGCATTGATTTTCAAAGTATAAAGATTGTTTTGTTCATACAGTAAAAGTGGAGGTTTTCACACAGTCCACGTGATGGTGAGTGGATGCTGTCGCTCATAGACATCTACATTTATCCTCTATTAAAAATCAAAATGCAGATGCGTTGTCACCCTTGAGGACTGAGATGCCTGGTTTCCATTAAAAAGAGTCCCCGGTTCTCACACTCACAATACGAAACATAGCAGCATTAAGCTGCTATTTTACGATGGTATTCTGTGAGATCGTAGTCTTTCCCCCGGTCGTGTCTACCGATTCGTGCTACAGCTATAATATAGCTGAAGTGTGCATCCGCCACGTCTAAAATCTCTTTTTGACGCGTATGTATATTTTCTTATGTGTGTTGACAGATTTCCTCGAAACTGCTGAATCCATTTAAACGATTCCCTTTATATTAAATAGTTCATCCAATAGGGTGCATCCATTGCAGCCTGCTACAGTTCACAGCTGAGAACAGGCCTCCGCCGCAGATGTAGGGCGATGTTACCGCATTCGGTCCGCTCAGCGGGCGGGCAGCCAGCCGCAGTTGCTTGTTAGTGCCAGCTGCTGCAGGATGCTGCCCTGCAGCTCCTGTTTCTGTTCCCTCTGTCGCCTTGTGCGACACGGCATCCAATAGGGTGCTCCTGTTTACATTTGACAAAATCATTGAAACCCTAAGCGTGGTAAAAATACGGGCTTCAAATATTTAATTTATAAATTACTTAGACGCCATTCTAGTTGCTACCTTGAGTTTGTTTCGGTTGTGCAAGGAAAAGTGGAGATCTTCCAACTGGCAAGGTGTTCAGAGCGGCCAACTTTGTACAGAGCTGTTCTATAGAGGTATATAGGACAGTACTTCGGATCTCTGATAGTATGATTTAGTCTTCAGTGGGTTTCACTTATGGCGCCAACGATAGCGTCACCACAATATGATACTGCTAAATGGTAAAAATCATTTTCACGAAAAAATTTACTTGGAGTCGGGATCTTAATTCTTCGGAAGACTATTTCTTAACATCGACTCTAGAAGCTATTATTTGGAAGCTAGTGAACTGTTCCAACATTTTATTAAACTTTTAGTTTTTGTTTTAAATTAATAGGTATAGAACATAACTTATATTTAACGTATAATTTGCGTAGGAAGCAGTGACCGAACCGAGAACAAGACAGACACGCACGCAAAGCCAACTAGAAACGATAGGAGAGAAAGTACAACAGCTTCATGCACCGTCTCAGGTTGAAGTGCACATGCAGATGCAAGAAGATGTTACGAATGAGCTTAATGTGGAGCAATAGAACTTGGACCGGACAGAATTACCAACGCGCGTTGTTGAGACTCTGTCACAGCATGCCTCGAAACAAGCGGACGAGTTTCAAGTTCCTGTGAGTAATATTATTTATATTTATTAGATAGACTAGTTCTACCTTCAAAAGTAAGAAGCAAACATTTCACATATAACTGAACTATATGAGCTGGAAGATGATCTATCGCTCATGTTTGTCGGAAATGTACTTGACACCCCTCTTGTCTTTCACCATCGACCAAAATAGTTTGGGATTTTTCGAGAGTGTATCTTCACATTTTTTCAGATAGCGATTGTAACACTTAGTTGCTAAGTTTCCAGAACGCTTGCCTACAAGTTTTAATTCGATTCTATCTTACGGATTTTTATATTTATTATATCGCTTCCGTATCCTGTTTTTTTCATTCAATAATTTAATAAGTTTATGATCAAACCAAGATGGAAATTTGTAAGTTTTCGATTTATAATGAGGTATAAAATTTTGTACTGCTATGTATAATATTTCATAAAAGATCTCTAGAAACTCATCCACATCACACAGACCATCAAACTTCTCTACCCAATTTATTTCTCGTAAAAATTTACGGATTAATTCGTAATTTGCTTTATAAAAATTTGGTCTCTTATTATTGATATTATACGGTAATCTAGTTTCATTATCTCCGTGAATCACAATATTAAGAGGTGGATGTTGTAAGTCAATTATACTTAAAGCATCAATAGTTTTGCTTACACTACAAGATGAGATCGTTGTTAAAACAAGATCAAGTATACGACCGGCTATATTAGTCACACGATTGTATTGAACGAGGTTGTTAACGTTAGCAAAATTTATCAATGTTTGCTAAGATTTGGTATTGAAGTATAGGTTTGGTTTCCTATAAGACTCCAATATACATTACTTAAGTTGAAATCCCCCACAATACAAACATGTGAGTTTACAATCTGTTCAAAAACGTTATTGCAATGATTTATATAATGCTCTAGTACAGTACCTCGTACAGGTGGTGGTAAATAAACTACACAAAAAGCAATTTGACGGATAGAATGTGACAAAGGAAAGTCCATAATAACCCATAAATCTTCACAGCTACTTTCCCAACACTGAATGCGTTTCGATTTAATATTCTTCTTTATAGCAATCAGCACTCCTCCTCCTTTTTTACGGCTTCGTAGATTGGAACTTTCTCTATCCCTCCTGTATACCACGTATCTGTTATCAAACAGTTCACTATTCAGAACTGCGCTATTCAGTCACGTTTCTGTCAAAATTATGATATCGTAATATTTACAGCAAACGTTTCGATAAAATGTTTGTGTTTTCGTATTTAAACCTCTACTATTCTGGTAACATATCTTTAATTTTTTGAATTTTATTCTGATATTTCTGTTGCTTTCACAAAGTATGTAAGGATGTGTAGATATACTATTTTACTTAAAGTGTCCGAGTTTATTACGTAAATATATTCTGAATTTTCATCTTTTTTTAACGAAGATTTTACCCTCTCTTACCCAAACGTATTTATATCCTTTTTCTTTTGATTTCAATTTAGCAGCTGCATGTAAAGCTTTATTAGATGGAGACAAATGCTCGACGACATAAACTGGTTTTTTGATACCAGTATGACCTAAGTGCACGCTGTTGAGTTTGTTTTGCGGATTTGATTTATTGAAGCTGATAACTGCAGCCAAAATCTGATCACGTACTTTAGGAGAAGCCAATTGGATTACGATAGATCGAGGACGAGTGTTGTTAGAACTCATTTTAGCTATCCAGGTACAGTGAAGTAGATCTTCATCTTTTAACTCACATCCAATTACAATTCCCAGCTGTTTGACAGTCAAGTATAAGTTTTCATGTTTGTTTTTAGGCAAACACTGAAGCTCCAAATTATTGGATCAAGATTGCTGCTCCAAATAATTAAGTCGTTGCAACATGTCAAAAACTGTATTTCCTAAATAAGAATTTATATCTTGCAGTGTTTTAAAAGATTTTTTAGCTGCGAGCTGTTCCGACTCGATTTCCTCAAATTTTTTATTAATAAAGGACATAGATTCTTTAAGATCCCTCATTTCGTTTCTTTTGTTTCGAATTTTAGTTTTAGAACAATAATACATATAAGATTCAGACAGCTTTATCCATTACTACAGATGAGATTTAGGGGACTGAAATAAAAACTCGATAGGGTGCTCAAAACGCTTGGACCGTAGTACCTCAATGTGAACTCTAATTTTTTCGACTGACTTTAATACGACATTACGACAACATATTACTGTACGTAGTGTATACTACGATTGCACATAGCACTAAATCCACTATTTGACATTTTATATAACTACTAAACTTTGTTTTTTTTTTAATAGATTAAACTTTTCATTTAATATATTATATCATATTATATATATTTTTCACTTATATTAATAATATGTATTTTCATATTTATTTATTTTTTTAATTTTGTACGCATCACTTCCTCTACGCAAAGGTGGTCTAGAAGAGATCACTTTCAGAGTAATGGGACCGCCTGTTCTACATATTCTACTTTAGATTTAACTGTACTCGTTTTTTTGTATTTTGATGTACAATGTCCATGTCACACCTCGTTGTTGTGAGCGCTGTGCTCGAAGTTGTTACGAGTACGTTTACCTGGAACAAATAGTGCGACTAGGTAAGTGTAACTTCGACCGAGATGTCAATCGGTGGATTCAATTCGGCTGGACAGCATTCGGGAAATTATTCACATCTTCTCGTCAGGTATAACTCAATCTCTGAAAACTGGGTTGTACAACCAGTACGTGTTGCCAGTGATGACTTACGGATCTGAGACATGGTCCTTCACTGCTAGCCGTATGAGGACGCGCAAGGTCACTCAGCGAGCTATGGAGAGGGCTATGTTCGGGGTTTCTCTGCGTGATAGACTCAGAAATAAGGATATCCGCAGTAAAACCAGTGTGACTGAAGCGGCAATGGGCCGGCCATATGATGGATGGAAGAACCAACAACCGATGGAGAAAAATTATTATTTCTAGCTTGTGTATGTATCTATCTATCATATTTGTATGTTTGTGTTGCAGGCAAAACGATGTCGCTCTATGGGCTATGTATCGTATAGACACAGCCGGGAGCTAGTCGTAGAGGAGGCCGTCTCTGCTCACGGTAAGGAAATTCTTACGTAGATACTCTACACTAGTGTTGGCACTTTCGTCTCCGCTCGTGTAAATCCGACACGATTCCCATTGAACTATGAGAGTGAGGGTAGAGAATGCCTGTGCGTGTGCACACACTCTTGCACTGTATAATACTTACCTGTCTCCGTTAAGAGAGTACCCACATTTATCGACTCGCAATCGGCTTCAGCTACAGCAATCGACTCGCAATCGGCTTCTGCTACAGCAACTCTACTATTTCTACGAAATACGGGTGTTGCCAGTGCCATTCTCATCGGCTCGGCTCGGACGACGCGTCACGACTTCAGCCGACGGCAAAACGAGCGGTTTGCCGATTAGCTGGTCATATTCGTACGGCGCTGAAAGTAGCCGAACGCCTACGTCGACGTGTTTTAAGTTACCGACGGCAGCTGAACGGCGTTAAAATGATCCGGTTCCATGATTTCATTTCCAACGGTGGTCGGATGGCGCAGAAGGCGGCCGAACGGCGCTGGAACGAACACGAACGGTCGCCGCGATGACGGTTCGGAGTTGAATGCCAATCACTTGTGAATAGCAGTCGCAGCAACTGTTCGGCGTTAAGCCGAGTATTTGCACTCGACTTGAGCAGATTCCGTGCCGATTAATGTGGGGACTCCCTAAGACTGGCTGCCATGATCAGAATTTGGTCTGGAGGACATTATTGTAGGCTGAGCGTTGTCTAAGCTCGCTGTGATTTTATGACGAATGCATGTCCGATTATTTAGAATCACTAGTAAATAACAACTTATGTCTCTCAAATCCAAAAATAGAACATGATACAATTTTAAAAAAACTCAAAGGCTAGATTGTTATAAAGGCGAAGGGCCAGTCGAAATACCACCAATTTTTATAAAAGAATGTGCTTCGGAATTGATATATCCTTTAAAAGTAATTTACAACTTGTCTTTAGCATCTGGCATGTTTCCTTCAAAATGGAAAATAGCAAAATTATTTCCCATACATAAGTCGTCAAATATCGATATCATTCCCAATTATAGACCCATTTCAATTTTATCAACCTTTGCCAAGGTATTTGAGTCGTTGATTTGTCATCATCTTCAACAGCACTTAAGCCTCTATATAAGTAACCATCAGGATGGGTTCTTCAGGGCTCGGTCCACTAGTACGAATTTAGTTCCTTTTACGGAATTCTTGTACGAGGCTATTGACCTGGGCTATCAGGCTGATGTTATTTATACCGAATTTAGCAAAGCTTTTGACAAGGTTTCGCATAAGATTTTGATTTCTAAGTTGTGTGCCTACGGGATTTGTGGCTCGTTACTCAAATGGTTGAATTCGGATTTAGTACAAAGGACCTTCTTAGTTGCAATTAATGGTTTTCAATCAAGCACTAAAACTATAAGTTCCGGTGTTCCTCAGGGTTCTCATTTGGGACCAGTCTTATTTCTTTTTTTTTTCATAAATGATATTAAAAATTGTTTTCTCTTTTCAAAATATTTTTTATATACTGATGACTTAAAATTTATGACAATAATTAAGAGTGATGATGATACTAAATTATTACAAAGTGACATTGATAGACTTATCCAATGGTGCTGCAACAACAGAATGGACTTAAATACAAGTAAATGTTATCATATTAAATACTCCAGAAAACAAAATTTAATACATGTAAATTACTTTATTCATAATACTAAAATTAGGGAAGTAGAGACCATTCGGGATCTTGGCGTAATATATGATAAAAAATTAACTTTTGTACCCCATTTGGATAACATAATTATGAGAGCATCTAAAATGTTGGGTTTTGTCATAAGGAATTGAAAAATATGCATTTGAAAACCAAAATATTTCTTTACCACAGTCTAGTTCGTAATATTTTAGAATATTGTAGTGTGGTCTGGAGACCACACTATGCTACACATTAATTACGTATCGAACGTGTTCAAAAGCGATTCCTCTGGCATCTAGCATTTTCTGTTGGTAAAGCAAAAAAGCTACGGTCCTATAATAGTAAATTGCATGATTTTAATTTAGGAACTTTAGAAAGTCGCAGAAAGTATAATGATGCAGTTTTTGTACATAAAATATTTAATTCTACATTTAATTGCCCCAGTTTAATGGAAATTTTTAAGTTTCGTGTACCTTCGAGATTACCTCGCAGCTCTATTGCACCACTTAGTCCACCATCAAGAAGAACTGTCTTGGGAAAGAATTCTCCTTATGCCAGGTTCTGCAAAGTTATTAATGGATATAGCGATCAAATCGACATTCACTTTGACTCACCCAAAACATTCTCTAAGTGTCTCCGTTAATGTATAAGTTAATAGCGTAAATTAAAATAGATTTCTTAGTTTTTTTAAAAGTTTTTTTTAGTTTATGCAGCACTAATCTTACTAATAAATATGTATTTAATTTTAGTTGAGGAACAACTAATTGTTTTTTCAGTTTTTTTTTATAAAGTTATATGCATGCGGAGTTTACCTTTAATTAATTGTTGCACTTGTGTTAATACTTTTAAGTAATTGTATTAATTTGATGTGTTAGTGTTATCAATTGTTGGTGAACCTAATAAAGAGAAAAAAAAATATCATTTGAAAAACATGAGTTTAATGAATTAGGGTGAGGAAGGGCTGGGGCGTTGTACAAGCAGTACAAAGAACTGCGCAGGCTTCGGGTCATACAGCGAGTATCAACTGCTGTGGAAGATTTTCAAGTACCAGCAAAGAAGGTGATGTTGCAGTTAGGCCGGACTATGTCGCATTGTTGGTCTGCATACATCATTTATTTTAGAACGTAATACACATATTGTATTTACTTCTATTGCATTCTACTAAGCAGAAAATGTCTACTAAGTAGTTTCATTTATTTAAATACTTAATAGTAATTAACTAACACAATATAAATCATTTATTGTTTCGTTAAAACCGTAGTGATGTTACCTATTCGTCTGTCAATTAATTACAGAAAATCATCGGAAGTGTGAGTGATCCTTGCAACTGTCCACTGCTGCAGTGGACAATAGCTTACTGATCCTACAAAATAAAAAGGTATATGACATCTTACTGACGCCGTGGCTGCGCGCTGCTGGCCAGCCTGTGAGGGACGCGGAGTCCATTCCCGCACGGCATAAGTATTTGTAGAGTCAACAAATAATTTTGGGTCTGGGTTCATGTGCAATTTATGTATGTAAGATGCCTAGAGTGAAGGTAGAACTAGTCTATCTAATAAATATAAATAATATTACTCACAGGAACTTGAAACTCGTCCGCTTGTTTCGAGGCATGCTGTGACAGAGTCTCAACAACGCGCGTTGGTAATTCTGTCCGGTCCAAGTTCTATTGCTCCACATTAAGCTCATTCGTAACATCTTCTTGCATCTGCATGTGCACTTCAACCTGAGACGGTGCATGAAGCTGTTGTACTTTCTCTCCTATCGTTTCTAGTTGGCTTTGCGTGCGTGTCTGTCTTGTTCTCGGTTCGGTCACTGCTTCCTACGCAAATTATACGTTAACCCTTAATAACCTAGAGTTTCAATTTTGATACTAATATTTTAAACCGAATATTCACATTACTATTAGTTTTTTTTTATATGTTGGCTGTATGTATTTTACTGTTGTATAGTATTCTATCCAACGAAATTAAAAAAAAAACAAATGTCATTATTGTTTTATTTTATCTGTGACATATTACTTGCGCGGCAAAGTGAACAAGTAAACACATTTTACTAAAAGTTTTGTTGAATATAAATTTGATATATTTTCTTTTTCTGAAGAATATAAATACTTTTGAGGTAAGTGAATACATTATTTTCGCTATGATATAATTATTTTTAGCAAATGCATGTTTTACTTGAAGAAATTAGTGCTTTTTTTTTTGGTATCAATATTGATACTTCAGGCATTCCGCCCTACATAAAACCTACCTACTAACTCTTTAGCTATAAAACTTTTTGAACTTTCGTTTCATATTTTTTCTGCATAGCTTGGTGTGGGGATTACTTTTGTTTTTATTTATTATAGAAATTTATCCAAAATGCGGCCAGAAGAGATTGAGAACATATTGAAGCGGTTAGAAAATGGTGAAATTTCGGAAGACGATTCCACCGACAATGAAGATGACATAGACTATTATTCGAGCCAAAGAGATCGTCTGATGGAGCTAGATGATGAAGAGGATGTAGGTAATTTTCCCACTGACCCAAACTTGGATGCAGATCCGCCTGCAGCAAACGTAGATACCGACATGCAACATAATTTAGAGACTGTTGAACGAAACCCAACTCCTACAACCAGCAGCCAGAACAACCTGCAAACTGCACCTTTCAACTCTAGAAACTTAGTGTGGAGAGTAAAAAATATGGATTTAGTCCAAAATGCTTTCCAGTTTGCTGGAAATACTGAGTATTCACAAGAAATTATGAACTTAGACACTCCATTTCAGTTTTTTTCTTATTTTTTCGGTGAAGACATTTTGAGATTTCTAGTGGACGAGTCAAATAAATATGCCTTCCAAAAGAATCCCAACTTTACAGAACCTGTAACTGTCTTAGAATTACGTAAATTTATTGGAATTCTTATTTTTACTAGTGTATATCATTATCCTAGTGTCCGGTCATACTGGTCAAACATTACAAAGTTTGAACCCATAGTACAAACAATGAATCGCAACAGATTTGATAAAATTAGAGAAATTTTTCACATGAATGACGACTCTAAACATTTGCCCATTGATCACCCCCAGCACGACCGACTGCATAAAGTAAGACCAGTGATAGACTATTTGAACAAGAAATTTATTACTTTACCATTTGAGCATCGTCTATCACTAGACGAGCAGATGTGTTCCACAAAAATGAAACATTTTATGAAACAATATTTACCCAACAAGCCCCATAAGTGGGGATTCAAATTATACGTGTTATGCTCTCTGTCTGGTTATGCCTACAGTTTTGAGATTTACTCGGGAGCTAAGGACATGGACCGTTTACCTGGCGAACCAGACCTCGGAGCTGTGTCGAATACAGTTATTCGATTGCTACGGCCAGTACCAAGGCATGTCAATCATATAATTTATTTTGACAATTTTTATACGAATATTCCTCTGGTACATTACTTGACCAACGAAGGTATTTATTGTCTTGGAACAGTACAGAGAAACAGGCTTGGAAAGTCGTGCAAGTTGCCGGAGAAACGGGAGATTATGAAATCCAACGTACCCAGAGGAACATATCACGAAAATGTGGCCTCTCACGAAGGCCTAGAATTGTCGGTCACAAGTTGGAAAGACAACAAACAGGTATTATTACTATCCACGTATGTTGGCGCTGAACCAGCGGATACTATAACCCGCTACGAAAAAAAACTAAAGGCCAATATTCAAATATCATGTCCTCGGGTTGTAAAAGAATATAATGCACACATGGGCGGCGTTGATTTGATGGACAGCTTCATTGGTCGATATCGCATTCGCATAAAGTCGAGAAAGTGGACAACGAGGCTCTTCTACCACTTGTTAGACATGACTGTCATCAATGCTTGGGTACTGTACAAAAAGGTAAACACAAGGAAAGGAAAACTTCAGAAGAATATTATGAAGTTAGCAGATTTTAGAACTGAGCTTGCCGATACTTTATGTAGATATCAAAGTCACTCAAAAAATAAAAGGGGCAGACCCAGTACCAACAGTCAACAAGACAATACAGTACCCTCTAAAAAACCCCGGACAGGTGCACAAGTACTACCCCCAACTGACGTGCGTTCCGATTGTATTGGCCATGAAAAAATATTTATGGAGTCTAGGAATAAATGTAAATTTAGTAATTGTAGGAAACTTACCTCCTGGTTCTGTAAAAAATGCAAAGTATCGTTATGCGATAATAAAAACAATCGATGTTTCGCATTATTTCATGCATAGGTCATTTAAGATTTCTTTATGGCCATAATGCCTGAAGTATCAAAATTGATACCTGTTTTTTTTTAAATAAATATGTAAAATAAATATTGTGATTTATTTAGCTATTTTTCCCTTCATCTAGACCCTCAAGCAAATACAGTAATATTTAAAAAAAGAAGACTCGCGTAAATCAGGCTACTAAGGGTTAAATATAAGTTATGTTCTATACCTATTAATTTAAAACAAAAACTAAAAGTTTAATAAAATGTTACAACAGTTCACTAGCTTCCAAATAATAGCTTCTAGAGTCGATGTTAAGAAATAATCTTCCGAAGAATTAAGATCCCGACTCCAAGTAAATTTTTTCGTGAAAATGATTTTTACCATTTAGCAGTATCATATTGTGGTGACGCTATCGTTGGCGCCATAAGTGAAACCCACTGAAGACTAAATCATACTATCAGAGATCCGAAGTACTGTCCTATATACCTCTGTAGAACAGCTCTGTACAAAGTTGGCCGCTCTGAACACCTTGCCAGTTGGAAGATCTCCACTTTTCCTTGCACGACCGAAACAAACTCAAGGTAGCAACTAGAATGGCGTCTAAGTAATTAATTAATTAAATATTTGAAGCCCGTATTTTTACCACGCTTAGGGTTTCAATAATTTTGTCAAATGTAAACGGGAGCACCCTATTGGATGCCGTGTCGCACAAGGCGACAGAGGGAACAGAAACAGGAGCTGCAGGGCAGCATCCTGCAGCAGCTGGCACTAACAAGCAACTGCGGCTGGCTGCCCGCCCGCTGAGCGGACCGAGTGCGGTAACATCGCCCTACATCTGCGGCGGAGGCCTGTTCTCAGCTGTGAACTGTAGCAGGCTGCAATGGATGCACCCTATTGGATGAGCTATTTAATATAAAGGGAATCGTTTAAATGGATTCAGCAGTTTCCGGGAAATCTGCCAACACACATAAGAGAACATAGAGATTTTAGACGTGGCAGATGCACGCTTCAGCTATATTATAGTCGTAGCACGAATCGATCGACTTGACCGAGGAAGGACCACGATATCACAGAATGCCAGCATAAAATAGCAACTTAATGCTGCTGTGTTTCGTATTGTGAGTGTGAGGCCCGGAGACTCTTTTTAATGGAAACAAGACTTAGTCCTGAAGGATGATAACGCATCTGCATTTTGAATTTTATTGGAGGATAAATGTAGATGTCTATGAGCGACAGCATCCACTCACCATCACGTGGACTGTGTGGCCATACATTATCGTTATTCTATAAAAAATATAAAAACTTCCACTTTTACTGTGTGAACAAAACATTCTTTATATTTTGAAAAGCAATGCTGTGATAGCTCAGGGGCTTAGCACTTGTTAATTGCAATTTCAAGTACTGATTTACGACGTGCTCGGCGACAAAGGAAAACATCGTGAGGAAATTCGCATGTCAGATTAATAAGATATTTCGTAGATACGTAAAAGCCATCAACTAAAGCAGCGCGGCGTCTAACTTACAACCCTGTCAGAGATGTGAGGGTTGTGCTCAGTAGCGGGACGTGCATTAGACTGTTGCTTTACTACTTAACTTTACATTTAAAATACGGGTACTTTATTTACTAGTTAAAACACAAAGTATGAAAAAAATTACCTACATTTCTCTGTCGGCCATCGGCGTTCTATTTAGAACTCTCAGATTGCGTAGGAAAAGCCGTGATAAAACTTGAGACATGTTAGAGCGGTATCCAGCGTGAGCGGGCCGATTTAGGTAAGTACGAGCGGGTACTCGGATATTCACCACGTCCTCCGAACTATCCTGTTTTTCCAAAACATAGTTCTGTACTTATTATTTCACTTTTGTATTTAATATAACAATATAAATTATGAAGTACATATTTATTTAAAATTGCAATAATTCAGAAATTTACCTACTTTATTGCTGAGTTAAACGTATTGTGAAAAGTTACGAAATAAATCAAAATAAGAAAATTTTCAGGTAATATCAAATAAATACATTCAAGAACGTTTTCGTTTTTTGTTAAGACAATCACGTTCATATTAGGATAATTCCTAAGCGGCTTTTGGATCAAAACATATGAGACCTATACAACCCGCGCGAATAAAGAAACGATTCATAAATGGCGGCGCCGCGCCGATCATGCGCTCTCACTCTAAACTATGGCTGTCTTTAGTCGCACACGGCCCGTACTGCATGCAAAAAACTGATCGTCTTTGTGTGTGTTGTGCAGGTTGTTAATGTGTGCATTATTATTGTTGTAGCGTTCTAATAATTTATCGACGTCGATCAAAATGAACGTTAAATAAAATGTGACATTATGAAAGATACTGTACATATTATCCTTTCCTATTTTATATATAATTTTCAGATTGGAAACGTATAAGATTTCTAGAAATCTATTCTATTAAACCGAATTTGTTTTATAGATACCTACATATTTTTTGTTAAATATCATCACGGCCTATTCATATTCCACTTCTGGTACATAGGCGTACGCCTATCTTACTATAAAGGCAGACGAGTTGGTGAGGCACAGGGATTCGTTAGTCTTTTCGGTCTTTTGAATTATTCAGACAAATACACACCAAACTTAACCCTTTACTCCTCGTACTTTAAAACACCTGTATATTGGAATGTAATGAAGAGTTTATACCAGATCTATGGTACCACGAGTATTTTTATTCCCAACGACGCTTTATTGGAACAAAAAGTAAAACAATTTGTTAAGAGTAAGAATCTTTCTTAATAATTACTATAGTAATTTTAAGTTATTCATGGAGAGATAACCAGAGTGACCAACATAGCCCAACGGATTAGTAAGCTGAAGTGGCAATGGGCCGGCCATATAGTTCGAAGAACCGACAACCGTTGGGGAAGAAGGGTTCTCGAGTGGCAGTCTCGTACCGGTAGGCGAAGTGTAGGGCGACCCCCCACTAGATGGAGTGACGACCTGGTAAGACATGCAGGAAGTCGATGGATGCAGGTGGCTCAGGACCGTGCTTTGTGGCATACCTTGGGGGATGCCTGTATTCAGCAGTGGACTTGTGAAAGGCTGTAATGACGACGATGATGATGATGTTAATTTTAATTACTTATATATAATTTTTATTAAGTAGTAAGTTTTTTATATTATTATTAAGTTATTTTGTTTTAAAATTTAAGTTATTACATTTTTAAAATTTTTAATTCGATTTATGGAAAAGGTTAAACGCTATTTAACAGCCAATCATTTTCGACTGTAGACGGAAGTTTTATGTGCACTACTACGGTTCTTATGGCGCCGGAAATTTAAGATCGCATAGATTGTCGCAGCATAGATCTCAGCGAGTTACGTCGAGAAGTAAAATATTTTTTTTCGATATCTCGCTTAGTTTAGAGATATCGATACACTAAAATTACTTTTTTTACACAGGAATATTGAACTTCTTTTACAATGTTGCTTCTGCAACAGCTTCGGCGCTGCGGGAAGTGTACCCTTTGCCCTTGCGTAGCAAATAGCAGGCACCCATGCTCACCTCCGCATCTTTGATTTATTGGACCAGCCTCAGCCACAGCGGCTCACACTGGTGCTTGCTAATTGCTACAGCGGAAGGGCGCTGCTCTCTCTCCGCGCTTACGCCCTAATAAAACACTAGGGGTAGGGCAGACAAGAATACTTGGATTCGGGAAGTGCTAATTCAATTTTAGTATTTAATTTTTTGCGTACCGACATCTCGGAAACTAAGCGAGATATATGTAGTAGAAACCCCGTTATATTTAATATTCTCTTATGATTAAGATAATAAATTATATTATGATGTTAAGTAATTGGTATCTGTAAATAGCCGTATATGAAATACCTTGAACAAGTAACTAACGATAACATCGTTGACGTTCACCAAATGGTGCTAGGCGACCGCCGAATCAAAGTGAGAGAGATAGCAAAGACTATGATTAATGAAATGTCCAAAGAATGTGTTTGTCACATATTAAATCCAGATTTAGGCGTACTCGTAAGACCAAAAACGTGTTCGTATGAACGTTTCCAACGCTCTGTTGGCTCGGTTTAGGCACAATAAATCCGAGTTTTGACGCCGATGATTTACTGTAGTTAAAACTTGGATACACTATTATACACTCGAAACAAAAATACAGTCAAAACAATAAACTGCAAGAGGATTACTGGCTCCAAAAAAAAAAATACTTTTTTGGGCTGGCTGGATCTTAATCGATTATCTTCAAAAAGAGATAGATATTCTATTACATGAGCATATTACTCATTTTTTTATTATTATGAGCGAGCAGCTCCGCCGGGCTAGGGAAAGAGACCAGTATCACTGCGACCAAGAAGATCTATTGTGATCGCTGCTATACTACTCATTACTCTATTAATAATTAATTGACATACTGAAGGCAGAAATTGCGGAAAAACGGCCACATTTGCAGAAAAAAAATCTTGTTTCACCAGCAGTTGCCATGGCGAAAATCTACGAATAACGGTTTGAATTGCTTGACCATCCACCTTACCCACCAGATTTAGCCCCAAGCGACATTTTTTCCCTGATCTAAAACTTGCGCTCGGAGGCCAGAGATGTTCATCAAATGAGAAGGCCACCTAATCCAAGCGCAGTGACGTAGCAAGAGGAGCTCGTCTGCAGCACGAATGTGTCTGCATGACCGGGGAAAACCACGATTGCACCTCACACAGTACCAGCATCAGAAGCAAAATGCTTCTGTGTTTGGTATGTTAAGAGACGGCAACCGGAAATTAATCCTCAGGGTGCCCATGCAACTGCATTTTGAATATCAATTGAGGATAGATGTAGGTGTCTATGGACTGTACACATAGTCTACCTAATAGCATGTGCTTACAATTAGGTGCTAGTTTCTTACCCTTTTCTCTATTGTAAAAAACTTTGAAAATAACATGGAATGAATGATTTTATCCCGTTTATTTTTAATAAGGATAAAAGTGACAATCTAACACACAGTCCATCTGATGATAAGTGGATGCT